TTCTCTCCCTGTAAATATGGAACTACACAGGCTTCTGTGAGCTGAGTGTACAGCACAGGTCATTGCCTAATTCTGCTAACCAAAGGAAACCACTAGGAAGACCATCCATAGTCTGACAAGTAGGGAAAAGAAAAGGCCTGCTTTTAGGAGCAGAACTTCAAAAGGTTACCATGTGCCCTTACTAAGAAAATAAAATGTTATTTATCTTATTTAATGTAATTTGTTGGTAATACACTAGTATAATAAAGTATATTCTAGAACATACACAAAAATGAGGAGGTTAAGCACAATACTAATTTTTCTATGAATAACCCTTTTTGTTCTTTTTGTGAATGTTAATATACAAGGGATGATAAAAAAATTATGGCAAACAATTAAAATTATTACAATAAAAGACACATTGCCATTAATTTCCCTTAAAATACTGCCCTTCACTCCAAACACCTGTGTGCCATCACTCTTGCCACTTTCTGAAGCAGTTCTGCAAGTCCTCTTTCGTGAGTGTCTTTCTTTACAAGGTGCCATAAAATGCAGGGTTATTGCTGCTGCCCAGTGCCATCCAGTGGCAAAGGAGGCTATAAAAACATCACAGTGTGTCCTCGACCTTATTCACTAGATTTGGCACCCTGCGATCTCTAGCTCTTTACCTGGTGTAAGGTAAATACTTTGAGTCACTTTAGAAATGTTTAACATTTAAACGTCTTGCATTTTTTATCACATCTCATATAATATGTCCATGATGGTAATATGATGGATATGTGCCACTATTTTTGAAAGCCTTCTTTTAGTCATTTTAATATTTGCTTGAATGTGTGGTTCTCTTACTGTTGCTTTGAAATTGGTTTAAAGTGCTTTGTGTTTGAAGACGGAACTATATATCAACTCTGATAGAAGATGTGCATGGCCGGCTGCACTCCTAAGTGAGGGGCCAGTGTTTCCATCCCATCCTCCCATATACAGCAGTTTCCTTTTTAAATGTGTCTGGTAAATTCGTCCTCTTCTTCCCTGACAGCAACTGGTCCTTTTGCAAATGAATCAGAAATTTTTGCATTAAAAGAAAAAGTCCTTGAAGTGCTCTTTTAGAAATTAGGTGAGAATGCTTTTTCCAGAAATTCAAAGAATATAGATGGGAGAGCTACTATATGTGGCAAACTTAAGTTTTTGCAATAAAATCACAAGACAGTGGACACGTGTACAAATATTATTTTTGAAAATGGCATACTGTGGCATAAACTATGTATAATCTTTTGAAATGCAGTTTCTTTTTGACATAAAAATGCCACTTTTTTTTTGAAGGGACAGGTTATTCATATGAAAAAAATATATATATTCTGATGTAAACAGTCACTTCCATCTCAGAAGTCCCCAGCAGGTTTGGAATACTTCTGTTTTTGTAAGAAAAATTATATGATACATGATTAAATTTGACAACTACAGAATATAACCAGCACACTTCAATGTGGTAAAGATTTTTATGGTTACTTCCTGTTTATTGAAATTGACAGTGTTGAAGTTCTTATTTCTATAAAATTAATCATGATAATTGGGTTAATGTCCTGTAGACTCTTTTATTTTTAGCTTCAAGTCTTTGTTGCAGTTTCTTGCCCATGAGTCACAAAGTAAATGAAATCTCATGTGTGGTGCTTTTAAAATTTATCATGAGCTTGGTGTGGTGGCACATACTTGTAATCCTAGCTCTCCGGTAGGCTGAGACAGGAAGATTGCGAATATGAGCCCAGGCTGGGCAACTTAGCA